CAACACTGTTGGGGTCAAAATTAGACCAATTATGGAGTAATTTTGCAGTTGTATACATCATGATAAAAGGAGTTCTGGTAGCTAGTGGTTACGAATCAGGCTGCTAATCTCACGGTCAGCAGTTTGAAACTGCCAGGTGTTCCGCGGGAGAAAGATGAGGCTTTCTGGTTCTGTAAAGATTTATAGCCTTGGAAACCCTGTACAGGGTCGCTATGAGTCAGAACCGACTCCACGGCACATAACAACAACATCATTAGTCGATTTAAAAATGTAAACATCATTCCTTGACACAAATGTCTTGTATTTTTTCTTACCAATCTGTTTTCAATTATCTTAAAATTTCTTCATAATAAGTCCCCTTGATCATCCTGTTTCTACTGAAAAAAATCTAGGGATACTTCTTAAGAATGAATTTGATTGATGAACTTGACACACACCTATGGAAGCAATAGCTCAAAAGAGTGAACAATTCTTCACAGTGAGGATCACTCCCACCTCCACCGCACACAGAGGACAGGAATGGGCAACTTGGACATTGGCTACCCAGAATGGGGGTGGGTGGGGGGACTACAGAGGCAAGAAGTGACTGGCTTACAAGCTTTCAAGAGGGAACCTAGATTCAGAGGGCATGGAGCAAGGTAGAATCTCCACTGAGTAGTATCCATTCTGTCTAGTCAGGGCTGATGAAAGGAGATGCGGATAGGTCCCTTGCGATATAATAGCGAATAATTGTTTTCAGGACTGATTGTAAGGGCTGGAAATGTAAAGGTGGACATTTTGGGGCAAAGGGAGTGGAGTGATTAACCTTACAGTCTAGGAGCGGAGGTCCCTGGGACCATCAAAGGAGAAGAGCAGAGAACGGAACCCTATCCAGAGAAGCAGTGATGCCAGAGATGGAGGCAGAGATGATGACGTGGGGAGATGGAGCAGCTGGAGACTTTGGACCTGAAGAGAGAGAGAGAGGCGGTGTGCGGACGACAGGGGGGCTGGCTTGCGGGGTATACCCTTTGGTTGATCGATGATGTATGGAATGGATTATAACCACGGCAAGGAAATGATATATGACAAGATCAATGTGAAGCTGATGTCCTACCATATAAACTATCACATAATTCACAATAAAGCACTAAAAAAAAAAAAAAATGAATTTGATTCAATTAGGTTTCACACCTCATTATTTAACAACCCAAAAAAGAAACCTTCTCAGTTGACTCGGCTGCCTTGAATTTAACTGGCTCAACAGATGCCCTTGAAAGCTACCATTTAAATTGGATTTTTTAAAGGCACCCTGGAGCCTAAAAAAAGTGCATTACAGAGAGAATTTGTCTGTAGCACTGACGGTAGAGAGGTGTTTAAACACGTTTTGTTTGGAATAAACCCATGCATGTATGAACTGGAAACTGGAACCCTAACATTTTGACTTTCTCTGATACATGATTTACTTAAAAAAATAAATCAGATCAGCTGGGGAGAGTTGGGAGACGTCAGAGGGACTACCATTTCATCTGTTAAAATCTTTCAATTATTCACTCTGTTTTGAACCCTTAGCTTACTCATTTCCTCTGCAAAGTTATCTAGTAGTTTGCAGTGGTCACTTCCGTGACATCCTGCAGGGCAGATGGATACCTCCCTGGAATGTCCGTTCAATTCCTTCATTAGTTACAACTCCTAACCACCTCTGTTCATCTTCCATAAGACTTAGTTTGATGATCTCTCCTTTCCTCTTCATTATAATCACTTTACATAATTTCCACACACTTGCTATTGTTTTGAGATGTGCTCAGGTTGTTGTTGCTGTTAAGTGCTATCGAGTCAGTTCCCACCTGCTCAGAAGGAGGAGATAAATAGTTCAATTTATTTTTGAAAAACTTTTTATATGAGCATACTCTTTTTTTTACATGTTCTCTGGCTCTCCTATCCTTGTGAAGTTTTTAAAAAATGAGTTTATGCCATATCAGAAACTAGTACTTAGCTTTCTACATGCAATGTGCATCAGTATTTGCCTATTGTATTTTATTTAATTTAAAAGGTCATAATACAATAATTAGATTTTACAAACTGATAATAGAGCTTGTTCTTGTTGTTAAGTGCTGTGGAGTAGCTTCTGACTCATAGAAACCTAGTATAGGGTTTCTGAAAAGTGACTGGTGGGCTTGAACTCCTCACCTTGTGGTTAGCAGTCTAATGCTTATCCAACAGCGCCATACCAGGACTCCAGTAACAGAGGGTTGTTTTTGTGTGTTATTTTTGTATAAAATAAATAATAATAACAACACACACATACAAAAAAACAAACCTCTGTTACTGGAGCCCTGGTGTGTTAAAATGTCCTGGTGTGGCACTGTGGGCTAATGCATCAGATTGCAAAGCCCTTTGAACTGAAAGGTTGGTGGTTTAAGCTCACCAGCTGCTCCTTGAAAACCCTATACAGGGTTGTTATGGGTCGGAATCAACTCAACAGCAGTTAATAACAACAACAACAATTTTTTATAAAAAGGAGAGCATCTTTTTAAACATATCAGTTCTGAAAACAACAAATTATGAGAATGATTTTATTTCCAAATTCAGAAGTTTTCTTGCAGATTATGAAGTACTGCTCATTTTTAGCTTGTAATCATGCCTACCCCATAGAGATGTGCATTTACACATTCATTTATCCCCACCTTGGATCCTGGCAGGATGAGACACAAGTCAGGTAGATTCTGGTAGAAATATTCGTCGGGTGATTGTTGCTAATTGATGGGACCTTTGTTATTTCCACAAGTGTGTGAAACCAGCCCATTATGTTCCATGTTTGAAAGGGAAAAGAGCACAAAGAAGTCTAGCCAATGGTAAGTGGGTAGGTGAGTGACATGTCAACTAGTTAACCTAACCCAGATCTGGAAACTACTTTGTTTCAGTCATTGAAAGTAAAGAATAATCAAAAGAGCTTCGGTGGGATTAGGAGAGTTTGGGACAGTGCATTACCAGGGCAGGGGTCACTCAGTATGGCAATGCATGCTGTTAACCCCTCCATCTCGGAACATTCCTCCCGTACAGATCACACAGAATCCTTAGTAATGTTTATTATCAATTTTCATCATAGAACAATATATGACATAATTATAAAATGGCTTAAATGTAATATCTCATAGATTATGTGGATATGCGAAACAAAATTATGCTGCAAAATCTTTCTGCATTGAACTGCAGCATTATTATTAGTTAAACTTATAAATATTATTAGTTCTAACATTATTAGTAACTGAGTAGAAGGCTCCATACAATAAGCAATGGACTGCGAACCACAAGGTAGGCAATTTGAGCAAACTAGCTTTTCCACAGGAAAAAGATGAGGTTTTCTGTTCCTGTAAAGATTTAAAGGCTCAGAAACCCTATACAGGGTCGCTATGAGTCAGAACTGACTTGATGACACTTAACAACAACAACTTCAGAATTTTTTTTAGTTTTTCTTCTTTCCTTTAGTTAGTATTTCTTTCTCAAAACAGTTATCTTTATAGATTAATAAATATTAATTGGCACAATACTGTATCTAAAACACCAGAATATTTAATAAAATCTGAAGCTACAAGAACATCAGCAATAACAAAAACTGTGTGTGCTTCTAGCCTGTACAAACAAAACCACTCTATTGCAAGCATCACTGTAAGTGGGTAATAATGCCAGCTCATTGCCTTCAAGTCAATTTTGACTCAGACCGACAGGGTAGAGTAGAATTGCTCCATAGGGTTTCCAATGCTGTAAATCGTCATGGGAGCAGTCCACAGCTTCATCTTTTTCCTGTGGGTCAGTTGGCGCATTCAATCCACCCACCTTGAGGCTAGCAATCTAATGTTTAACCCACTGTGTGACCGGAGTTCTTGTAACTCACTGTTATTGTTAGTGTCGTCAATCTGTTTTGACTCATGTCAACCCTGTATAGGCTGGTGGGTTTGAACTGCTGACCTTACAGTTATCAATTCAGAGCTTAACCTATAGAGCCACACCAGGAGCTCACTAGAAGGTTCAAAAAGTAAGTCAACATAGAGTTTTAGCCTTGCAGGTATATTGATACTCTGAACTCACACAAAGTGTTTTTGTTGTTATAAGTAACTACACAGATATTTCTATAAAATGAATAGATTTCTGCTGAAATACTGCACAAAATTTTTATAGAGAGTCATTTTCATGTCATTCCTTGTTGCTCCTCTGCAGCCTCCAGAGTCCCATTAGTGAGGCCGTTGGTTTGAGGGGTAATATCTAGTGGAGAGAATCATCAGGCATTTTATCTCTACCATCGTTCAGTTCATGGTTTACTTCTTTGGAAAATCTCCTCTGATGCCCCTGAAGGCTGACAGCATCCTGGGCCTGCCTCCCTCTCTCCCTTACTTACATTGTATTGACTGTGCTATGTTTTGGGATCTTGAGGACAGGAATGCCACTTTCTTCTTCAGATCTTAACAGCCAGGTCACTTACTTACATTGTATTGACTGTGCTATGTTTTGGGATCTTGAAGACAGGAATGCCACTTTCTTCTTCAGATCTTAACATCCAGGTGAGTGTCTGGCAAGTGGCAGACACTCAACTATGAGTTCACTGGACTTCTCTTTAAATCTCTGTCTCTTCAACTCTGAAACAAAGCTGAACTGAATAATCTCTCAGGGCCCTTGCAGCCCTTGACAGATCTGAGGCAGTCCAGAGCACTCTGCTTCCCAACAAACACCGTATCTTCCCGGTGGCTAACTAGAGATGACAAGTTAAACAGGAGTGACCCCATGCATGGCTTAGGGCCTAACCCTGGCCTGGCAAAATAAGCAAAGGAGTGTACTGATAAGAGCCACTGTGAAAACCTAATGTTGAAGCAGTGCCGGCAGCAAAGAAAGAATTCCACCCTCCACTGCATGCAGGACTGTTGCTGCTCCCTCGCCTGTAATTTTCTCTAAGGCTCTTGATTGGTCTGAAGCAGGACAGAGGGCTGGGAAAGAGCCTCTATATATTCCTCAGAGGACAAGGCTGTCCCAGACACTACTGAAGCTTTCAGAGACCAATTCTGCTGTTAAGAATCTGTGCTCAAACCTGAAGAGCGAAACCACTTGTCAAAATGTGCAAAGGACTTGCAGCTTTGCCACACTCATGCCTGGAGAGGTGAGAAAAAAAGTTATTTTGACTTAAGAGTTGGAGATACAGAGGATGCTTATTCAGGGGAGGATTCCAACAGGGGCCACTGTAGATAGACTTTAAACTGAAGTAGAAAAAGGTATTTGATTCTAGACTAGGAGTTGTCTATTCTCTGTTAACAATGCAGAGGGTCGTTAGCAGTGATTTTAAAAGATCCAAACTAGAAGCCGAATAAAACATGGTGTATTTTGTACTTCATTTAATATCGAGAACATTGTTTCTTCAGAAGAGGTGCTTATTTATAGGTGCTTATTATGAGTAAAATATGTATGGTTAAGAATGTGCAAACTGGTTAATAATGTCAAACTGCCTGGGTATAAATTATGGTTAATAATGTCAAACTGCCTGGGTATAAATCCTGACTCCTACTTACTGTTTGTATGGCACTAGGCAATTTAGTTAGCATCTGTTTCTCAGTTTCTTTATCTGTACAATGCAGGTTGTAAGAATATCTACTCATAGCTTAGTTGTTGTTAAGTGCCATCAAGTCGGTTCCAATCCAGAGCGACCCTGTATAGAGTTTCCAAGGAAGAGCTGGTGAGCTTGAACCGCCAACATTGCAGTTCAAACAGACTTTGCAGTCCAGAGCATTAACCCACAGCACCACACCAGGACTCCACAGGCTAGTTATAATGATTGAGTGAGTCAATGCATATGGAAAGTTCAGAGCAATATCTACCACATGGTAAACCCAAAACTTAACTGCCTTTGAGTTGATTCTGACTCATAGTGACCTTGCACTCATAGGGCAGAGTAGAACAGCTCCTCAAGAAGCCCAGGTAGTATAGTGGAATGCTAACCACAAGGTCAGTAGTCTGAATCTACAAGTCACTGTACAGAAAAACAGAAGACTTTCTACTCCCATAAGGATTTACAGCCTCAGAAACCCAATATAGGTTGCCATGAGTCAGAACTGACTCAGTGGCACACCCACCATCATCAGAAGTGATCTTTAGGGTTTCTGAGACTCAGTTTTTTGTTTTTGTGTGTTTGTTTCTCTCCTGAGAAGCAGCTGGTGGGTTTGAACCACCAATCTCTCAGTTAACAGCATAACACTTCACCCATAGCACCACCAAAGCTCTGTTGGCACATGGTTGCTGTTGTTGTGAAGTGCCTTCGAGTCAGTTCCAACCCATAGTGACCCTGCATTGGGTTTCATGGTAGAACTATATAAATGTTAACTTTTATTAATGTCCATGAACTGGGAGAAGAAGACACATCTGCAGTGAGGCAGTGGGGATGTCATGATATTCTGACCTCAATAGAATGAAGGAAAGGGTTACTGAACAGAAAAAACAAAACCCAACGTTTGGGACACAGAGTTATTTATTAGCTAGAAATCTTTATTTAAAAGGTGCCCAGGTGGAACAATGTTTAAGTATTGGGTTGCTAACCAAAAAGCTGATGGTTCTAACCCACTGGCTGTTCCACATGAAAAAGATGCAACAATCTAATTTTAAGATTACAGACTTGGAAACCCTGTGGAGCAATTCTACTCTGTTCTATTCAGTTGCTGTGACTCCGAATCAATAAGATTCTGAGTCATAGCAGTGGGTTTGCTTTTGCGGGTTTGTTGTTGTTGTTGTTGTTGTATTCTTTCATAGGTGCTACACCACTGAATCTCAAAGGTTGTCCTTAGGCCAGACAACATTCTGGAGGGAACCGAAGTATGTAGGTTTTAAGTAAATAAAGAAAAGGAGCAAATGTTGACTTTCTAGAAAATTAATCCAACAGTCCTTACCCAATGCAGAGAATTAGGGACATTTCTTAAGAATTGATTTGATTAAATTTGGTTCTATTCCTCATTATTTAATGAAAGAAAAAAAAGGGTAACCTTTGTGCAGTCTAACTCCATCCATTAAAGCAACTGTGATGCTATATTAAACGGTTGCTTTGTTAAATGGACTATGTGTGACTTCTCCAGTCTCTTACCAACGCAGGTCTCCTTTTTGATAACATCCGGGTGTGGCACTGTGGGTTAATGCACCAGACTGCAAAGTCACTTGAAATGTAAGGTTGGTAGTTTGAGCTCACCAGCTGCTCCTTGGAAACCCTATATAGGGTCTTATAGGTTGGAATCTACTCGACAGCACTTAACAACAACAGTAACAAATAAACTCAAAATGATTTTTAAAGAGATAACATTGTAGCTTAGAAGTTGGTTTCCAGCAATACTATTTAGTGACTGAAAATAAATCTGCACTCATTCTCTGTCACCAGAAGCACAGATTGTTTTAAGATTATCATAAAATAAACTAATAACAATAAAGCAGTATTATTTAGATTGTACTAGTAAGTGATCCATATGGCTCATTAGACTACTCTTGGAAAGGCGAACAGGTTTGTTGTTTTTTTTTAATTTATTATTTTTTATAATAGGATGCTTTATTTTGAGTTATGTGATAGTTTATATGAGGGAACATTAGCTTCACATTGATCCCTTCGTATATCATTTCCTTGCCATGGATACAATCCCCTCCACGCATCATCCACCAACCACAGGGTATACCACTCAAGCTTGCCCCCACCTCCTCTGCCCCTCCCTCCCCACTTCATGTATCACCGCTTCCCTGGGTAGGGTTCTGTTCTCTGCTCTTCTTCCTTGATGATCCCAGAGACCTCTGCCCCTAGACTGCAAAATTAATCCCGCCCCTCCCTTTGCTACAAAACGTCTATCTTTACGTTTCCAGCTCTCGCAATCAGTCCTGATAACAATTACTCACCATTGTATTGCAAGAGACCTATCCACATCTCCTTTTCTTGGCCCCACCTAGACAGATTGGATACTACTCAGTGGAGAGTCTATCTTGCTCCACCCCCTCTGGATCTAGGTTCCCTCTTGAAAGCTTGTAAGCCAGTCACTTCTTGCCTCTGTAACACCCCCCCTCCCCTTCTGAGTAGCCAATGTCCAAGTTGCCCATCCCTGTCCTCTCCTTGTGTGGAGTGGGTGGGAGTAATCCTCGCTGTGAAGATTTGTTCCCTCTTTTGAGCTACTGCTTCCATAGGTGTAGGTCAAGTTCATCAAATTGTATCAGATTATTCTTTTTTTTCCTTCTTTCTTCTGGCTGAGCTCTGATCATCCAGCCATTGAAGCCAGGTCAAGTGGATATTATCTGCAAGTGTGGGTGTACTTATGCATGTGCCCACTCTTCTTATCAGCTGGATGCTTCACTCTCCACTCTAGTTCTCTGTTGTATGTCACTGACTCTGGGCCCAAGGGTCCCCAGGTCTTGCCACACTGCTGGCCAGCCAGGTCTCTAGCCAGGTTCACAGGAGTCCATTGAACGTTGTAGGGCTTAGCTCGCAGCTCCACTGCTACCCTTTCCTCACTTCCCATTGGGTCCTAGCCTTTGAAGGATGTTTGCCCTGAGGGGACCTGACCACTTGCCTTGATGTCTCCTGGGCAAGCCACTTGTTTGTTCTTGTAGTTATCAGTCGATCAGCCTGTATTGTCTTGTATTTTTCCTGTCAATCTTTCTTTCAGGAAGTATTTTCTGTTCTTCTGGCTGCTCCAGGCTGGTCTGCTTATCATTTCAAGTGGAAATTTCCCCTCAGAAGATTCTGGATGCTATTGAGGAATCCACCTAGGGTCTCATGTAATACTGAGACTCCCCAGGAAGCCTCTTTCACTGGGCACATTGTAGCCCCATTTTACGTATTCCAATCAGTTATAGGCAGAAGACGGACTTACAAGCTTTCTATGGTGATATTTCTGGCTATTCCTTTCTCTCCCTCTCCAGTGTCTATTTTATAGTGGTATGCCAGGGAAACCAAGATTCATAAGACAGCCAAGCATCTTAACATTCTTTACCCCCTTTTCCACATTCCAACTTTATCTCAATCTCTGTATCCCATAGCTCTGTTGTTCCAGGGTTGTGCATATATCATTATTTGCCTCTGTCCCACCTCAGCTTCACATTCATCCTATCATATTACATTTCATTGCAATGATAACAATCCCTCCATGCATCATCAAATAACCAAAGGATATACCCCACAGACCTGCACCCCCTGGCTGTCAACAAACAGCTCCTCTCCTTCACTGAGTCCTGTGTCCCCAGCCACTCCATCTGTCCATGCAAACATCTCTGTCTCCATGTCTGGCTTCACTGCCTCTCTGGGTAGGGTCACACTTTCTGCTCTTCTCGCTTGATGGTCTCAGGGACCTCTCTGCTCCTGGGCTGCAAAATCAATCAGTCTCCTCTTTTTGCCAAAAACAAAAACAAAAACAAAAACAAAAACAAAAACAAAAAAACTGCCTCTACATTTCCGACCCTTATAGTCAGTCTTGGTGGCAGGTATTCACTGTTGTACCACAAGAGTCTTATCCCCATTTTCTTTTGTCAGCCCGGTCCCAATAGATTGGAAATCATTCAGTGGAGGTTCTGTCTACCCCTGCCCCATCTGGAACTAGGCTCCCCCTTAAAGCCTGTAAGCCAGTCACAGGTGAACAGGTTTTAATGCTATTTATTGCTATCAGCCTACCTGCTCTATAGGAAAGCAGGGAGGTGAAAGATACCCAAAGTTCTTTGAATATATGGTAATGCATGGTTGTTTTCTTTCCCACTGTTTGCAATGATGAGAATAGCAATTTGATTTTCTCAACAGCTTTAATGGATGCCACTTATTTAGAAAAACGTGTACTCTCAAAGCAGGGAATGTATTTGACCTTATTAACTGTTGAATAACTGACTCTGAAATGATTGTAATATCAATCTTATAGGCATTTTATGATTCTATGACACAATGCTTGGCATTTAGTGAATAACTAGTACATGTTTGTTGAAAGTTCAGCATTGTTAATAATTTTGCCCTTTTTGCTCTTGTAAATATATATACTTAATATTCACTGGGGAGTGCAATGGCTTCATAAGATAAGCACTGGACTGTGAACCATAAGGTCAGTGGTTTGAGCCCACCCGTTGTCCCATGGGAAAAAAGATGAGACTTTCTGCTTCCACCAAGAT